CAATCTTCTTTTCTTTGCTTATCATATCTCTTTATTCACTGAATTAAATACTGCTTTTAAATCAACAAACATTGCAATCATTTTTTCTTTTTTTTTTCTTCTATCTATTATTAATTTATGATAGTCTTCTATCTATTATTAATTTATGATAGATAGAACAAATTTATTACATTGTCTATCATTCTCATATCTCTTCTAAATCTGATTATATGAATTTATCTTTTGTTTTCTCCATCTCTTTCTTTATTCTTTTCACCAAATATTCATGTAAATTTTAATTCAGCACAGACATTATCGTAAATCTTCTGTATTCTTTCATTCTACTTCCATTCTCTTTTTTAATTATCAGTATTTCTAGTTTCTTCTTTGCATTTCTTCGGCCATTTCTTTCTCTCCTTATTATACATTTTCCAGATCCATTCCTTGAAGCCCTTACCTCCATGTTTCCACACCTTTCCTATCTCATCAATCGTCTTATTCTTCAAATTTTCTTTCTATTCCCTTCCTCTCATCCTATTCATATCTTTCCTTCCCCATTCCTCCTAATATCTCTATACAATATCTCTAAATACTCGTACTTTTCCATCTTTATTTCATCTATTTCTATTTACTCTTTTTCTTTTTTTCTTTCACTATGTAATATTTTTCACAGCCTCCTTCGTTTTTTCTTCACCACCCATCTCATTTTTTTCTTTCTTTTCCTCATACAGCTTCTTGTATCTTGTCCTATTCCTGCATTCATTCATTCATTTTCTCTGTTTATTCTTTTTATCTTCTTAACTCCCTTTTTATTTCTTTTTTTCCTACATTTTTTTATCCTCCTTTTTTCACTCCTTTTCCTCGTCCTTTCTTTCGATTATTACCTCCTTTATCTTCCAATTCTTCTAAATCTTTTTTAAAATCTTTTTAACCGCCCCCCCCCCTCTCTTCCTAAATCCTGCCACTCAATTTTTTTTATTTCTATAACTCTTCCCAATTATTCTTCACAATTATTCAAATTCCCCTTCTTTCTTTAATTCTACTATTATATTATTTGATAATCCGAATCCACTCTCTCCTTTATCTCCATTCTTTCTATCCTCTCTTTCTTATCCCTTTCTACTAATATGTCATAATCGATCATCTAATCCCCTCTTACCTCTGCGTAGAAGTCCAGTAATTCTTCTTCCTTATCGATTTATATTTCCATTCAATATTATTCACCCTTTTTCAGCTATACATTTTCTATTTGTTTTTCTTCGATCTTCTTAATTGTATTTATCTTACTCTTTTTTTCTTCTCTTATTTCTATCAGTAGTTTTCCTGGTAGTTTATTCTTGCCTGAATAATAAATAAAGATATTAATTATAAAGATATTAATTATAGAAATTAATTCTACTTCTTTTGTTCCACTTATAAGATGTCATGATTATTTCATTGTAGAGGCGACCCGGACAAGACCGATTACTTCGGGAATACATGCTTACACTTGGCAGCAGCGAGGGGCCACGAATTCTGCGTAAAATTCTTGGTGAAATTTGGTTGCAATATATGGTCACTGGACATCGACCGGCACTCTGCCCGTGAACTTGCGGCGATAAACGGCTATGAGAAGATTCTACAATTCCTAGATATCGCTCAAGCTGATCAGGAGTTAAATAATCGCAAAAAAAGCCGGATGCTCCGGGAAAAGGCGGAGAGAGATGCGGAGAAGAGGTACAGTTGTAGAATGTGATTTGTTTTTGCGTCTTCTACTTGAAAAGAGAGAGTGAGAGAACATAATATCGCTGCCATTTGCGGATCGTTTCCATCAATTAAATCATTTCCATCAACCATGTTTCCATGACAGAATACACATAATTTCTTTTTAACTTACTAATTTCTTTTTACTTACTACGATTAGCATATTACATTATTATGAGTTATATTAGATTTTAATCCGATTTCTTTTAACATTTTATTTTCTATTTTAAAGTTATATATATAAATATATTTTTGTTAAGATTGAAAGAATATATGAAGAAACAGAAAATGGCTGAAATTAGAGCGGAAAAAGAACAGAAGAAACTCATAAAAGATCGTGCTAAATCAGACTTCGACGCAATGAATGAATTGAACTCTCAACGGCCTGGGGTACTGACCTTTAGAGGCCGAATGAAACCTTCGCCGACATTTAGCGACATCGTTGGTACCACTATGAAGAAACATGGCAGCACAGTTTGTCGGAAAGCTTTAGCTAAGAAAGCCATCAATGACTTTAAGGTTGTAGAGGTAAAAAAAATACATAAATAACATAAGACTATTGTACAGTTTTCATGATTCAAAACAAAAGTATTAAAAAATGATCTGTGAAATGAAGAAGTAATTTTAAAAATCTTTAATGTCATAGTATACATAAAAACAGAAATAATAAAAAATCAATATTTGAGAGTTAACTCATTCTTTATGATTTTTTTTATTTAATACTTAGTAATATCGTATATGTTATTATAGGTCGAAGTAAATGGAAAGAAGTCGGTTCGAAGTCTCACTGGCGTTCGTCGAGATTCTGAAGTTATGTACGTAGGCACGTATGACACCCAGCCTCAACACATGGGCATTAGAAGAGGAAAGATCTCTGATGTATGGGGCACTCTCAGTAAATCCCAGAGCACGCCCGATCTCTTAGGTGAAAGGATATACGATGAGGAAGAGGAGGATAGAGAGGAAGAGAACTTGAATGTTGCGAAGGACACTACTTTTCTTCAGGAACCAGCTAGTATCTTCAATCGACCTGGTTTTGGTTCAGTGGCTTTCAGAAGAGCGGTTAGTCTTAATATTCATACCTTAAATCGAACTTACAGTCGTAAGTAAACAACTTTGTTTACAATGAAACTGATATCAAACTAAAGGAAATTACAAACAAGGAAATTATTCTGAAACATAATTTTTGTATATCGAGCTACTTTTTATTTTCTTTAGAAATTTCGAGTTATAGAAATTTATACAAGTTACGTTTTTTATTTTTATAATCATTTTCATGTCATGCTTTTTATATACTGTAATCTCTTCATTTCCACAAATGTAACTGTTCCGCATGATTACCTTCGTAATAACTACTCAACTCATAGAAATCGGCTTTAATATTATGCAGCGTTTTCTTTTACGACAAGATAGCTATCGCTTGTTTCATTTGAATCATGATTCCAAGAAACAAAGAAATTAATTGTGGGAATCGTTGCAAAAATGTTAACGATCTTTTAAACGATTACAGCATAGAAATACGTAATAGATATTCATCGGATGCGCTAATAGCTTAATTATGTAACAAAGTGTGAATAGACAGAAAAGACATTAGAAGCGCTAATTAATTATTTTTTTATTTATATGTAGTAATTCGTAATTTTTATAGATAACATCTACGCTGGATAATCTACCGGTCACGCAGACAGATGTCCATCTGCAAAACAGCAATCTTTCTGCAAATGGTTCTACAAACGGATCCATAAGCAGTAATAAGTTTAGCCCAAACGGACACAATGAAGAAATTAGTATAGGAAGTGCTGGCAGTTTGGCGCGCAGACAAAGCTTGTGGGACGAGGATCTTCTTTCAGGTAAGTTTAATGAACCTTGTTACAAAGTGCAATTGAAACATTTATGCAACTTTAACAATGCGTTCTATGTCGTAAGGAACGATGTATGATAATCAATCATCTTTCCTGATTTTTCCGCATTGTCATGTTTTGTGTACAAAAAAAAATCAGAATACTACAGTATTGAATTTATCTATGAACAGAAGGTGAAGAAACAGATGAGGAATGGACGCCTTTACAGAGATTTTTAGTCGCCAATAATCTCACGTCCATACATCCTATTTTGGAATCGGAGCAAATCGATCTAGAAGCTCTGATGCTGCTCACTGAAACAGACATAGCGGCCCTCAAACTTCCGCTTGGTCCGAGACGAAAACTCACTAATGCAATCGCCAACCGAAAAAAAGCGCTGAACACGCCAGAGAATGTTATCAAGGACAGTAGATTGTGAAAGTAATATATTGCATAGCCATAGAGATGAATTGCTGATAACGAAATTATCCATCCACAAATACGATGAAGTAGCTATTAATGATTTGCAAGAGAAAAATAGAATAAAAGTAGGAAATCATTTAAAAAATGAAATTTTTAACATGAAATATAAAATGGAGATTTTTTAAAGATGGCAAAAAAATAATCATTTGACATAAAAAAAGTTAAAAAAATTATTAAATTATTCAATATCAAAAGGATTTTAATATCGATTTTGTATCTTATAGTTTATTGTCCAGATATTTTCCTATTACGAATATATTTTTCTTTATACAGAAATTATGCATTTTACGAGTTATCTCCGTGTCCACATATTAGAATGTTAACATTTCGTGAACATAGCAGTTTATCGGAGTGAGGAGCAGCCTGATAGGTGATAATCCGCGAAACGCATAATTTCTCTATAGAAAGTGTCCGTAAAAGCCTCGAGAGTATTATTATATTTTCCTACTGTATATTTAATTGATCACATTGGCTGTACACAATCGCGTAATTATGTAAATAATCACCAAAAAAATTTATGTTAAAATAAGGAAAAATAAGAAAAAAAGGAGAGAATTAAGTTCCGATTAGTATACTAAATGAAATAGATTAAGATAGAACAAACAGTTCATGCCATAATCAAAGAAACAAAAAATCAATAATTATATTACACTGCCATAAAATATATTGTCGTTAACATTGTTCTACTCAACATCAGCCTGACTCTTAACTAGATATGTATATCATATTGTACTAAACACGAAATTTCAAAATTTTCAGATATGTAATAAAAACATACATTTATCTCAATTTTTTTATATTTAATAGTGTTAAACAATATATTTTTTCACAAAAAAATTTAATATCAAAATTTAGAATTTAAAATATTACTAAAATAAAACTTGTGTTTTCCATCATTTATATATGTCCAAGATATAGTTATTAAACTTTGCTGTTAAACATTAATAAAAAAATATTGACATTGTTCATCTTTTAAAATTCAATATGATTTTTAATGAGTGATCGTTAATTTGCATATGATATATTAAATTCTTATCTAGTTTTAGATCTTGGTACTAATTATAGATAGTTATGGATTGCAGTATATTATACATTAATTTTATGTAATGTCGTGTATATAGTACATATTGTATTCACAAATAGTGCAAAATGTATAAAATAATTGTATAACAATAAAGTATATATACACGATAATTTCTATTCAAAAAGTTGTAAAAGAAAAAGTGTGAATGTAGATAGGAGGATGCCATGACAGATTTCGTTTTCTCGTGATTTATTTGTAAATGATTATCTTACAAACAAGAGGCGCAAAAATATACAAGCTTCTTATGTTCGCAAGAAAGTAACAGCACCATTTCACGCCTTGCCATGAACGCGTCGTGCCCGATTAAGGCGTCATGTTCGTGCAAGTCTCATGTCACGGTACACTCGTTCTCGCGATAGTGCACCAATGCAACTTGCAGCAATGTGCATCGGAATAACAAGAAAAGGAAAAAAAAGATACGCTCGTAAAAAATTTTTTGGTGCCTTGCGTCCGTTAGACGTACGCATTTATACGTTCCTGCGTATTATGAACGTATCAATATAACTGTGAACAATATAATATACAAGTGCTCCCTCCTAACTCTCTTCACCTCCGCTTTTTAACCTATGAATACAATATTACACCAGTCCTTATATTGTATCGTACTGATTTTGGTATATTCTCAAATACGTATTTCTGTTTTTTTTTTTTTTTTTTTTTTTTTTTTTTAAGAAATGTCTGTTAGGCGCCTTCATCGTCTCACATTATTATACATTTATATATTTTTATATATTTTCATATAAACATATCGTTAATATCTCATGAACACAAAATGATATTTCATACAAATATTTTTTACATTAAAAATTATTTTTAATTTTTTTTATGATCTGCATTTACAGCAATTGTTGAATTTATTAAGCTATTATAATTTTGAATTAGGTGTATTATAATATTTAATACGAATTAAAAACTATGTAACATACTTCCAAACTTAATTATATCTTCATCAACAAAATTTTAATTTCATATTTGCTCGATGTGCATCATACCTATATATAATCTTATAACGGCTAACAGATTTCCGACGAGATAATTCTTCCATGAGAAAGGGAAAGCTTCCTCGCGTGTGGGAAAATTTTTTCGCCGACCTCCAAGTGTCATCTCGTACTCATGGGTGACTATTACGCAAGACAGAAAAATGCCAATTATACCGGCGAAACCGAGTACTCAAGTTGCTTACTTGCGAATGAAAAAAGAAGAGCACACAATTACTATTGATTTGTCTACTTGAGAGCAACTCTCGGAAGTAAAGAGAATGAGAAGATGCTAGCGAGAGAATAGCTCTCCACAGTATTTTCCAAGTAACGTATGATTCTCTCAAGAGTAACTCTCGAGAATAATTCTCGATATTTCTCTCAAATGAATATTATATATATAGACGTCACGATCAAGAATAGACGTTTCGATTATGCAGTTAGAAGATGTACCACGAACACATGGAACGGAAAATAGATCAGTGTTTCGTAAAGTTGCTCCCGTCGTCGGGTTTGGTGCGCTCGCTTACGGATAAAGTGTACCTAAGTATGGCATCTTCGCATACGATAATACCTATGTATTACTTTCTTCTATATTAGAGTTATATGAAAAGAACAACATTTACATGGAGGATACTTCCGATAGCTGGAACGGGCGAAGGAAGAAACGTGTTAAAAACGATGCGAACGTACAAAGTTTTCAAGTATCAATCTGTTTTTTTTTTTTTTTTTTACATTCATCGTGAAAGCAACACCTTTCTTCCGTGATCGTTTAATTCGCATGTATAGTAGACATGTAAATGATTCGCTCGCGAAAAATAAATTCTCCACGATTGTTGCATGTTCTCACTGGCGTAAGATTCTCGGACCCTGCATCGCGTCGATGATCGATCTCGTTCCAGGGAAATACTTAAGAATCGAAAGCAGAGTCCTCAATTAATTTTGTTAACTGCCGATCGCACGGTATTGATAAATATTGTTAAAGCTATCGCATAGTAGTAAATACTAATAATAATAATATCAGCGATATATCTATGTTTATTGTTTACCGTTATTAGCATACGCTATATTTACAACTGAACAACAATTTTTTTTATTCCTCTTACGAGTGACGCTTGAACAATCTTGCGAAGAAACAAATAGAAATGTACGTTGACTTCTGACGTAATTTTCAAGTGCAGTTCGCAGACAAACGTGTAAATCTTGACGATCTTGTATAAATCGAGTCGCAATTAGTGTGCCCAATGAATACACCTAATATTTGAATAAATAAATGAATAATGAATCTGAATACGAGTATGAATACTAAAGTTCGACCGAAACTTTTGTCAAAACTGAACCGAAACACTCATGTCAATTTCAATCGAAATTGAAATCAAAATTAAAAAATAGA